TGAGAGATTTTTTGTCATTGGTCAAATTCAGGTGTACCTAAAGCAGTTCCAGAGACACCTCCACATTCACCATGATATGCTCAGTGGAGCAGGTGTTGTACATCACTATGAAATTTTGGCCATGAGAGTGCACTTCAGAGGTGATCACTTCTAAGTCTATAGTGAACTGTGAACTGGCTACTTTATGTAAGGGAAAGGAGACCACCCTCCAAGTCTTTCTTTCCTCCAAGCTGGCAGCAGCTAAGCAGCCATTTCCTCGGCTTTTTGACACAGGGACTGGCCTGGTTGTTCTGCTTTTGATGAAACTGGTATAATGAAGAAGAATACCCATAATACAAACCTGTATAGACAGGATAGGGCAAAGTCAGCAGAACTTTCCAAATAAAAAGTTTTTGGCAGTCTTGTGATTGTTCCCAAGCTTGTCTATGCTATGAGCTGTTGTAAAGGCATCTCAAGTTTTATTATGCCTAACCTGCAGAAGGCCTCTTCCTGGCAATGACTCTTGGTGCCAGATCCACCAGGAAGCATAGTCTTTTCAGAACTGTTTAGAATTCACAAGACTTAGTTTTGTTTATTGAAAGTACAGCCTCATTCTCAGCTGCTTTAAATTTGCCATTTGCTGCAGAATTTCTTAAAAGGATGGAGCCAAGAGAGCAAAAACTCGGACTCATGAAGTAGTTGTAGAAGTCTTTGGTCTCAAAACCCTTCTGTTCCAAACACAGTGGTAACATAGCAATGACAATGTTTTTTTCTTTAAGAGACACGTGAACACTGGGTGTGTCTTGGGCTATTGCCATCTGTGTGGTGTAATATTATGGGCTTAACGCCAAGCACAGTGAAGTCTCATCACCATCAGTGGATTTTGGATTAGGCTACATACGTGCAGGCAGCTCATTCTGAAGAGGGAAAAGGCAACACGGTTTTCTAAAAGCAGGATGAAATTACGGGTAACTGTAACAGGATATGGATCTGCAAAGGGAAATGTACTGAGCATGAAATCACAGGAAACTTATTAATATTTTGTCATATGTTGGTAATGAAAATATTCTAGTCTAATGCAAATATGCAAATATAGTCATTGGTGTGGAGTTAATACCTTGAAAAATATTAAGTATTTCTTAAAATAACTTTTGTTCTATGTTCTGACCATTTGTGTTTGCTGTCCTCAAATATTTTCGCATACAGGTTTACTTGTTTCTACAATTAATTATTAATATTATTATTAATTAGTATTAATAGTTTAAACAGATATTGGAGAATATGTGCTAAAAATGTATGCGATGATGATGATGATGATGATGACGATGATGATAATAATAATAATAATAATAATAGTACATATGTTTGCTCTAGAAACAAAGTCATGGAAGTTGTGCTAAGTCTGACCAAAGAACACGAGCAGCGTTGCGTGGTGAATACCTCTAGTGGCAGCAGGCAAAAGTAGCTTTAATTTTGACTGTCACATACTTGCACCAAGATTTTTACTAGATGGTTTATTATCATCAAAAATTGTTGTTACCAAACAATTTGGATAAATTGGAAGCAACAGCAATTTGTTTCTTACCACGCAGAGCTACTGCGTGGGAAACCGACGGTCCCTGAGGCGTAGGTGGCTCTGGTCAGCCCGGAGAGGTGAGCTATGACTCGGGCAGGCAACACCGCAGCCGCTCGCCGTGGGCCCGCCAGGCTCCCTCCCGCCGCCACAGCGAGGGCCGGCACGTCAGGGGCCGCGGGCCGATGGAAGGCGAGAGGCGGCGCCGGCGCTCTCTCGGGCCCGGCCTCGCCCCCGCCCCGCCGAGTCCGCTAAGGGCGGGCGCCGCCCGGGGCAGCCGCGTTGCCGGGATACGGAGCCGTGGCGAGGCGGTGGCTCGGGGCCCGCGGCGGCCCCGAACGGTGTCCTTCAGTCACTGCCCCTCAGTCACTGCCTCTCGGCCAGTGTCCCCCTGCAGGGTACCCCTCTGCGGTAGTGTCCCCCTGGCCGGCCCGGAACGCGCCTGAACGCCGGCCCCTTCCGCGGCACGGCAAGGTGCAGGGTTTTCGGCTAGAACGTCAAGTGATGGGAAGCAGACCGAGGAACGCATCCACAACTCCCTCATCCCCCCTGCTGGAACCTTGCAGAAAGAAAAATAAATTAATTTAGAATGCCATTGTGCCTACTCAGTACCTGAAACACCCGGGAAAACAAGCAGGGACCGAGAGGCGGGCGCTGGTCCGTGGGCGCAGCAGGCCGCTGCCTGCTCCGCTGGCCTGCAAACAAACAGCAATGGCATCGGCAAAGGGTGAGCCAAGTGTCGCCGGGCTGGAGAGAAGCTATGCCACTGAAAATCCATGAACCACTTTGTTTTTAAACTGCTACATGGCAGGAAATAAGATGCTGAGCTTGGCAGAAAAGGACTCTTGTCCTTTCTGTCATCATGCCTCACTTTTGATGGGGCTGTTATAAATATTCATAATATTGCAATTTTGGAAAAAGCGGTTGTTTTGGCATGTGGTTTGGAATAGAAAACTAACTTCCAGGCGGTTCTCTGCATGGACGAAACTGGAGTCAGGTTACTGCTCTGCTGCAGAATGTGCTTTTGTAACCGAAGAAAACACTACACTGCAAAGTTTTCAGGAGGTTCACAATGTGGTTGGAGTATTAATTAAAGAGAAATGCCTAGGTAATTGATGGTGGATTTCAGTGAATGAGCCAAAGGAAATGAAACACGGGGTTTCACCATCAACGGGAAAATATTGCCATGGCAATGGGTAGCTTTGCCAGGAATAAACAAACAAACAACAACAGGCCTCTTTCAGAAAAAAAAAAAAAAAAAAAAAAGAGAATTTTCTGTTCTCACCTCACCATGTCTGTGCCATTGGACATCTTGGAGAGGAGAAGATGGTGTAGTCTACTTATGCAAATCCTACAAATCCAGCTTCCTTCTCAGTAGGTACAATTTGATCATTTCCACATCAGGAAGCCTTGATATAGCCTTTATATTGGGGACTGGGAAGGCATCAATATTTGCTTAATAATTATTTCAGTGCCTTGGCTACTATAATTCTGTTCAATTTTCTTACAGAAGGTGGATGGGCTTAGAAACAACCCAGGTTTCTGTCACTCTTAGTTGGTGCTGCTTCAGGGAGAGACTGCTGACAGGGAAGGTTTTCTTAAGAGCAAAAACATGGGCCCAGACTTAAATTAATAAAGACCTTTACAAAAACACAATGGAGAGAGCAAGGGAGCTAAGAAAGCATGAGCTGCCCTTTCTTCCGTGGGCTCAGATGCCTGGTGGCAAGTGTGCCCATGCACAGGCAGTGCTGTCCTCTCCCAGCAGGGCTTTTGAAGGTGGCCATCTGCCTCTGAAAGCCTTCTGGGCATTTCTGGCTGCACCTAGTCCCTCAGAGGATGCAGTCCCACCACCTGGTGTGAGCTCTGGGTGTCTCCCCTCATCCCAGGGTGATGGACCTTAGCCACCACCCAGTCAAGGATTCAGCAGTGCTGGAGTCCTGCCTTGTATCTATAGACTGAATTTCTTGCAGTTTTTCAGGCTGTTATTCTGCCCATAGCCTATCAAATCCCTTTGGGGATTTGTATCCTTTTGGGCACCTGGATATGCACTAAGGCCTTGCTGGGATTGTTCCTGAGAAAGATAGACACGGCCTGATGTTGATCTTGTGATTTTTGTGGCTTGTAGATCAGGAGCAATGGGCCAGAGCCAGGCAGCAATGTGAAATCAAAGGAGGGGGAACCAGAAGTCAAAAGAGATCTCCTCATCAGGAGATCAGGTGTCTCCTGGTGAGGAGACAGCACCCGTGTGAAGGAGCTAATAGTAATCCTGACTGTATTAAATGTCTGTACCACTGGGTTGACCCAGCTGTGTTTGTGAGCTGTCTAATGTAAACAGTCCAACAGGGAAGTGTTAAGACCTGGTAAAGTTTGCAACACTCATCTAATAGCAATACTATATTAAACAAAAAATCATCCTGTATGGCTTCCCAGGCATTTGGCATTTGTTAGTTTTGTCTTACCATTCTTAATAAAGTAATACTTAGGTGCTGCTTAAGTTTCCATTAAAATGTTTAATGTAGTTTATTGTAAAGTCTTCAGGCTGAGGACTTTTTCTGACAGACCACTCATACCACACCTAGCACTCATTTTGATTGCAGCCTCCAGGCAGTTTTGTAAAGGTTCATTATTATCACCAAGATCTGTCCTTATCCTGTCACTCCTCAAAGAAGGTCCATTCTTAACTATGGGTTTAACACAACTGGTATTTAAATGACAATTTTATTTTTTTCCATCTAAATGATCAAACCAGTTCCAAGAAAATACATTTTTTAACTTGAACTTTAAATTGATGTTGTCCATATAGAACTGTGCTTAGTCCACCTATGTCTTTATTTCCCCAGCTCAGAAAACATGCAACAAATAAGAACCATTCTTTTTCTGTGGAGAAAAAGGAAAAAAAAATGGAAAAAAAAAAGCTGTATTTGGGGTCTTATTTTGCATGAGAAAATATTTTGTTTGGGAATTACAGTCAAAGGCATTCTCTCATATATTGTAATATTTTCCATGTGTGGCAGCTTGTTTTTCAGTGGTACAAATATGTGCAATAAAGGCCGAGGATAAAAATTAATCTAACAGTTTTTGCAGCAATGCTTTTGATGGTTTCATTCGATTTCATTTTCCTGTGGATACTGCCATTAGTTCTGCTGCTTGCAATATGTGAAGCATAATTCTGAAAGGTTCATGAGGTTGTAGGATCCAGTAAGAGATGACTGATTTCTCCCCCTACACACATACACTCCACCCCACACCCACTCACCCACCCACCAGCAAAACATAATGCTGTACTATTTTTGGAAACAGGGAAAGGGCCTCCCTGTGAAAACAGAAAGCAGTGTATTTCTCAGTTACATCACTTTGCAATCTAATGCTGTGTTGTGCTCAGTGTTTTTGTGGTGATGCAAGTCTCTTTTTTTTTCTTTCTTTTTTTTTTTTTTTTTTTTTCCTTCAGCCGGTTGGATTTTCCCCATCTTACAGCACCTCGCAGGTCTCTTCTCTGAGCAGTACGTTGCCTGAGTGAGTGGAAACATACAGATCAGCTGCAGGTTTCTATCTACAAAAACAGAGTGAAAGAGAAAGAAAAGGGTTGGGAAAGCAGAGACAAATATTGACCTGGACTTAGAGAAAGACATCCAATGGCTGAATAAAGAACCCTGTTCATGTTTTGGGATATTCTTTCAACTGGCTGGAACGAGAGCGGATCAAAAGAATGGGAAATGCCAGCAGACCCTTTAGAAGAATTGCTTATTTCTTATGCCTTTTATCTGTGCTTTTGCTGACTGAAGGGAAGAAACCAGTGAAGCCAAAATGTCCTGCCTGGTGTACTTGTACCAAAGATAATGCTTTATGTGAAAATGCCAGATCTATTCCTCGCAGCGTTCCGCCTGATGTTATCTCACTGTAAGGGCTGTAAGCATTTGGTTATTTAATTTATGATTTAAAATTAACTAGGATGTGTGGTGTTTTCAGTGCATACAGAAGGATGCTTGCTGCAGGGAGTACCTCCAGCATTCAGAATCATCAGCTAATGTGTTAAAATTGTGGTGCATCCTTGAATCCTGATTTTTATATCTTTTTCATCTGTCTGTCTGTCTGTCTGTGTATGCATACACATCTCATTTTATACCTTCTTGTATAGTACATGAAACCTGTCACATTATTTTGGGGAGGGGGAAGATATATTTTTTTTACTTATATAAATAAATTTCTCTGTGATGACCAGATCAGTATTATAACCATGGATATATGCAGCTACATTAATGTATGGTTGTTTTTTTCTTCTTTACAGATCCTTTGTGAGATCTGCTTTTACTAAAATCCCAGAAGGGAGTTTTTTGCTCACACCATCTCTGCAGCTTCTGTGAGAAATTTTTATATGATACGATTTTGTTATGAAATGTATATGTATTCATAAATATTTCAGAAAGGGTCTTAGTATTAATTTTAAAAGAAATGGCAGCAGATGATTTATTAGATCATAAAATACAAGACTTTTTAGCAATTTGAAAGATAGTGCATGTTTTATTTTTACTTAGGATTTTGCAAGGCTGTCTGTTGTCAGTACTACTTTGAATGCTTACATGCTGAAGCTTTTGGTGACAGAATGCATGCTATCTTCATTATACTTTAATTAACACTACAGTAAGGACTTAAGTATTGCAACAACTATTCTTGTTTATTTTCTGCATTCCTGGGACCTGATCCCAGTATAAAGCTGTCCATTTGCAACTCCCATTGACTGTGAGCTCACAGCCCCTCAGATCAGGCCCATCATTGCAGTGGGACAGGTCCTGAAGTCCTTTTCCATGTAAAATTGCCATTGACTTCTGTGAAAGTTTAGTCACTTCAGTGGGAGTTTTGCCTTCATAGTACCTGGATTTGACCCTGTTTGTTATTTCACAGTCTTAAAAGTAATGACGATTTTCTTCCAATTAAAAACTGAAGTAGTTATTTCAAAGTGAAATACTGTGATGAGGTATACATGGAAAGAGAATATTTTGGGATATTTAACTCTTAGCTGCATTTCAACATAGGATTTTTACAGGCTTGCAGGCTTTCCTAGAAATGTGGGCATACGATTATATAATTGTGAGCTATACAGAGGTAGAGGGGGTGTAACCTGAACTGTTTATAGTGGATGTGCTGCCAGCCTGACACACACCCAGATTTGTCTCAGAAATCCGGCAAGGCAGACTCCCCAGTGTGATCAAAACCAGAATCGGATGTCTGTCCCAACCCAACTTCCCATGCTCTCTGGATGTGGTCAGAGGTGTAATGTTGATGTACTGGAGCTCTCCGGCTGTTAAATTAAACCGGTGACGTACCAATAGCTGAAGCCCTGACCCTGGCTGTACTCTGCTACCTCAAGTGGAGCTGATAAGGAGGTGCAGACATACTGTACAATTTTGGATACAAGGTAAATAGGTAAATGCAGTTACTATGGAAACCTAAATGCTTTTCCATGGTGCTTTATTCCAGAGATGCTTTTTTCAGGTGGTCATAGATCACAAAAGGGACACATTTCACATAATTTCTGCAATGGGCCTTTCAAAAGAGAGGAAAAAAAATAAGCAGCAGCACTGGTGGGGCTTGTATCTGAAGAGAGTGAGTAGGACATCATCTCTCTTGGCTACGATACACCACCTACACTCAGTAATCCCACTGCAAAGCAGGCAGAATTGGGCATGGTAGAGTAGGACAGACACAGTCATCTTATTTTGAGTTATTATAGTGCTTGGCACAGTGGGCTTGGGCAACGTCTTACGGCATTTTGGTAATTATAATAATTTCCATTTCTACTGTACAATGAAATGCACATTCTACACTGCTGTTCATAAATGTTGCAGCAAAAACTATGACCTCAGAAAAGCAGAGTTTGTTCCACTGTGGGCTTTGATGAGTGATCTGTTTTCCAAATATATTTTTAACATGATAGTTGAACTGCTTGCCATCCTTGGAATGTCAGGCTGCTGATCTAAGGTAAATGACTCCTTAAAAACACGCCATAGGAGCAGGATTGTATCTGTGGGGACAACACTCCAATTTGTACGTGGGAAAGAAAAATTTTCATCTTTGGCAGAAGATAGTAAGGGAAATAAGAATATGGAAAACTTACATTAATTAAACATTACAGGAAATTTTAGCTTTGCATGATTATAACTGTATTGGAAGGTTTAATTTAGCCAACAGCAACATTTAGCAGCTTATATGTATTTCTATAATAATAGAAATACATATAGAAATAGTCTCCAGCATTATGTTTTTGAAGTCCAAATGTAATTGGATATCTCCAACACACCAGTCACAGATTTCTAAATATGGTATAATTCTGCCACTATTATTATTTACTACTATTTTTAATGTAGTAGCACCAATGGTCTCTGGAAAAATCGCGGTCTTGAGCTAAACACTACTCGGAACTCCCAGTCCAGGAGAGCTTTTCTTCTTGTGTAGTATGGATGGTATGCTCCGTGCTCTTCATGTGACAACAAAAATACAAGGAACCTACACAGCTACGGTGAAGTTCCAGCAAGAGTGTTCCCTAAATGTAGAGAAAACCTCCCAGCTCTCATCTTCAGCACTTTTATCTCTGTGTATCAGCAACGTGCTGAGAGTGCCCTTATAAACTGATGACATGAAAGCCTGCAGAAAGAAGGGAGGTAATCACGGCATCAGGATTTGTACCTGCACTGTTCTGTTCCTGTCAGGTAATACAGTCCCTAGCTACAGCGCTGTACCTTCAGCCTCTATCCCCAGAAGGAGAAACTATGGAGTTCAAGGACAAATTGGGGAATAAAAAAACTCTTTGTGCATCAAATGCATCTGATATAGCCATTGGGGAGAGGTATGAGTTGGAAGGCAAATGAACTCACCAACTGCAAGACCTATGCTGTAAGCCTGGCAATCTCTAAAATAGCAATACTATTTAAAGAGATACCACTCTGCTCTCTAAATTATAGAGTGCAGAAAAGGAAAATATCCAATAAAATCACATCAGAAAAGTAAAATTAGTTGCAGGATTTATTAAATTTGTCTTCTGGTTCTATAATTCTATAAAAATACTTGTTTCCTCTAAAATTGAAGTATTTTTTATTTTGACAAAAAGGAAGAATCTCTTGCTTGTATTTTTTCATACACTTCATATAGGAACATACTGAAAGTGGAAAAAGCACAATCTGCAACAGCCAACTGAAAAATACATTACCTGCAATTTATTCTGAATGTAAATGTCAAAAAAAGAGATTAGTTCATTAAGTGGATTAATTAGTACTTGGAAATCCTGAATTCCTGAACGTCTAAGAATGCCATAGTACAAATCTATTTATCCGTCAGGTCAATTGATTAAAATATAGATGTGCATGTAGTATTCCACTGGGGTAAAGTTCATCGTACTTTATGATGTCTCACCACATTAAAAGTGCTGCAGACCAGGTCTAGATTATAATGGACAAATGCAAACATGGCTGATAAGCATAAATAAAGCTGGAAAAATCAATGCTAGTCTACTTTTAATGCTTACAAAATTACATTAAATTAAATGTATTGCTGGTATTTTTACTGTTAGATGCATAACCTAAGAGTATCTCCAAGAGGTATAAGGAGGTCTTAAAAATAATTCTGACTCAAGCACTGTCTGAATTTAAGAGATTTTTCTTTTTTTTTTTCCCAGTAACCTTCAGTACCATTGGGTTAAATACACTCAGAAATTTAACTTAAAAGTTAAAGGATTTTCTTTCCTGTCAGTGTTGCAAATTCAACCTGATGTCTGGCTAACCAGCAATTGAAACCAAGACAATTTAAATCTCTGTAGTACTTGAAGATTTCATTATTGTCCTAGTATATCTCCAGAGGCACTTGTACAATCCCATTGTTTTACTGGCATGATAAACCCACGTTTACATCCCACAGAAGTCAAAGGAATTTTATCAGATGGCCTCAGTGGACGATTGTTGGATCCTTCCCTTTGCACCACACTATGGTGCAATACATGAGCCTTACAGTCCTAAAGTGCTTGCACAGTAAAAACATGAAACCAGGCAGTGGAAATTTGGCCTATCATGGCTTGATGAACCATTTTCTAGAGCTGCTGATAACCTAATGGTCTTTTGTTTTGCATCTCTTTATGCAGGTTGTTTACTTCCAACACTTTTGATGTTATTAGCGATGATGCTTTCATGGGCCTTCCTCATCTAGAATATTTGTGAGTGGAAAAAAAGTATATTTCCTGGCATTATTGAAGAGAGTGGGTGGGCTTCCAAGTTCCAGGCATTGCTTTGACCAGAATCACTTTACGACCCATTACAGGTTCATAGAGAACAACAACATTAAGTCAATTTCAAGAAATACTTTCAGAGGACTGAAATCTTTAATTCACCTGTAAGTAAAGTGATTGAATATATTAGTTGGTATATTTAATTTAGTAACCGAACCACTGTGTTGTTTAATTTCTCATTTTCATATATAACTGTTCCTAGTAATTTAAGTGTTATTAATAGTAATTTATTTAGAATGTTAATCTTTGTGTTTCCACCAAAGACTTGCAAACTGTGGTATGTGTAGAAGGCAAAGACACAAACAGCTTCCAAGCAGTACATGATTGGCAGTGGTTCCCTGTCTTTCTCTGCTTGGAGAACAGACGATTTCCAGCTGAGCATGTAGGAGCAGGGAGAAGTATGAATTGGGAATCTTGGCATTGATGAAATGAGTCCCAGTTTGGGACTTGGAATGGAGGGAGGTGGGAGCTGTGTCAGGAATGAGAGAGGCTGAGGGATGAACCCACACCTCTTCCCAGGTACCCCAGTCTGACATGGATCCAGGAGAATATTACAGCCATTCTTGGGACAGGCTATCACTGTCTGTGCTCGTGTCCACTTAAGACAATAATAGTATACAGAAGAATTTTACTAAGTCAAACTTGAAAATTCCACCCAGAGCAATTTTAAATAGAAGACTTGCAACAAGATGTATTTGTTATGGCTTACTGATCTACTTCTTCCGTTCTGTACCTACCCTACTCTGCACCCTGTCCTCTCCTGCATGTGAGCAGGAGCTTCCCACAGTCAGGATCTGCTACACATTGACACTGGTATCTGCTTACCATTCCTTGTGTGCTGCCCTTCGGCTATCTTGGAAATACAGCCAGCTGTTGCCCTCTGACCTGCTGCAGCCCCTTGCTGCATTAGCTGGGAGGGGAAGTTAGTCCAAGGCACTCTGGATGCCAATATGCTGTAGGAGCAACGCTCCCCATGCCCTCACCAGTAGGAGCATTTCTCACACTGTGCTCAGCAGGTGAGACACACATTGGCAACAAATAGCTGCAACATTTCACTGCAAACATGAGTAGCTTACTTTTCTCTGAGCTATTTTTATACAGGCTTTTGTCTCTTATCTTACAACAAGTTTATCTTTTTAAAGATAGCAATAATTTAATTTAATGAGGAATAAAATTTTTAAAAGCAAAATACACACTATAAGAAAACAGAAAAAAAATAAAAAAGGAGAAAAGTAAAAAAATGAGGCTAAAACATCTGTAGTCTTCCTGACATGGGTTTATACCCAGTTCTGAGCATCTTCATTCTGAGGCATGTCATGGATATCATAGACAGGGGAGTGGATTTTGACCTTTTGGCCTTAACATGATAACCTCCAAGAAGGTTTTGAAACAGGGTCGTTTAACTTTTTCTTTCATGTATTTTGACAGAGCAGAGAAAGCGAAGTTCCATTTTAAGCAGTTAATGCATAAATATAATAGTAGAATTGCAATTCACCACATCTTCACCACCTAGTAAATGTACCGTAAAACATTTTATGCTTTCCCTTTTGGTCAGGGCAAGATTTACAGCTGGATGAAAGCAAGCCTACTGTGACTACTTGTGTAGATAAAGTTAAATATGGAATAGCTCTAGGTCTGAGGAAGAGGAAAGAGAGAGGAGAGGGAAAGAGGTACATAAAAAGGCTGTGCACATCCCATAGCAAACCATATTAGAGGTACAGGCAGAATTATACTGTTGTTAGAAAAATGGTAACTGTATAAGGCTGGTAACTGGGACCCTATCTTCAAAATATTTATGCACATGAATAGCTTTATATTCACAAATGGGCCCAGTACATTATTTATCATATTCATTTACTTATTTAGTAGCTACTGCTGCCAGTGAACAAATTGCTTTTCTAAAACAGAGGAAGGCACAGTTTCTTCGCCACAGAGCATACAGTCCATGGCTAACGTCTTTCTTGTCTGTTACATTGGTTTCTGGGGATGCTCCAGGACTTTCACAAGAGAAAACATATGCAAAAGACAGAACTACATTTGAGGAGCAACTGCCATTTGCATGCACATTTTTGGGACATAGATTTGTGCATCATGCTGCTATTGTCCGTGGAGCACTATTCACAAAGACAATGAGAAATTTGTGGAAAATCACTACAGAGGCACCACTAGTTTAATCTGCTTGAAGAACCACTCCTCATCTTTTGGGGAAAATTGCACATATACTTTAAGAATGATCATTTGGCACCCTGAGGCACTTTTCATTTAAGAAACAAGAGAGTACTTGTGTACATAAAATACATTAAAAAGAATCATAGTATATGAGCATGCAAATAAGTCCTATGAGGTTAGATAAGATGAACTTTGTTCTATTTATTCTATTTACTTCCTTTTTGTAACATAAATTTTGGAACGCAGTAAGCTATCCAAACATTTTTACTTTTATAATGCAATTAACTTCAATAATTACAGTTTGTCCTTATTTTAAAAGAGAGCCATCTAGAATTTATTATTGTGCAACAGGATTTATTTTCTAGTCAGAGTATGTTTAAGAACAGAAACATTTTTAAAAGATTGCCTTTTGTTACCAATTTACTAATTTAATGTCAAAATCGTACAGTTAGCATTGGATGGTAAATTCTATGCACAATATTTTTAATTTTGATTGCATTTCTCTCAGAACTGTCACCATTGCATGTTTGAGTCAACATTTACTCTCTTCTTATAGTCCAAATACCATGTACGGCACGATCTAAGCAAGACAGTGTTTTCTCATTTGTATGCTTTTTAACAGTGGACTATAAAATCCATAATTTTCATTCAAAAATTGGCAAATGCATAAACCTTGCTTAAATTTTTCTGTCATTCATGTACCCATGGCAGCAGTGAACCACTCCTACTTCCAAGTACACTCTCCCTTTTAGTTTGCTATATAGTAACATATAAAAGCAAAATAGGGCATTAAACTTGTCTCAGCTTGCAAGTCCACACAGCTTTCTCCATGTGAGTTACCTGACTTTTAAAGAATTGCTCTGGAGCATAAAATTGCACATAGGTGAAGCACATGATACATTCACATATAGTGTTACAATATGATGTACCTTGAAAGTAGTGTGGTCAGAATGGACTAATGGAAGCATCCCATATTTACTATTACTGATCAGACAAACACTTATTTTTAAATGAGGCAGCAGACCTAGGACATCTGGGCTTGTTCTTGTAGTTAAGTGTGTGCCTAAATGTCTTTGCTTGGCTAGAGAAATAGTGGTTAATAAATAACATTTATGTTTACGAGTTACAACAGAAGAGATTCTAAGTCTTACTAGCTACAGATTCTAACTGGGATCTTAATCTAAAATTATTTCTCTCCATTTTTTGTTTCTTCTCATAAGTAATAAATAATTCTGTTAATTGGAAGAGGCATAGACTATACGCTACATTATTCTTTTTCTGTCACGCCCTCCGTGACATCTGAGTTCTTTGGCAGACGCACAGAGACAGTCTGACTGAAATGTAATATACTGTTTGTTCAACGCCTGCTCACATTTCCTTGTCACTTTTACTAGCTGGAATACTCACTGAATTTAAACAAGTTTTCCCAATATTGAAAACTGGGAATTATTAACATTTTTTTAGTGGTCTAATACACTCACACACACAGGCACAGGCCAGGAAAGCAATTCACACCGATCAACAATTTGTTGCCTATTACTGCATGTTTTCAAAAACTAAACTATGAGCTAAACCTAAGTCCATCAGCCCATATTAGTAAGATTTTCCTTCCAGAAGAGGTACAAGAAAGTGGGGAAATTGCAGTGATGTGAGCACGATGTATTGGGATCTCATAGGGAAAACATCAGTAGATCCAATCATGACTAATTGTTTTCAAATGTTAAATGGTATTGGCAAAACACCAAAGGTGATAGCACTTTTTACTCTGCTAAGTGAAGTATTGTAAATGCTACTGGGCTGCTGAAGAGGGAGAAAGCAGAAGGAGGCATGGCATTTTAGTGGAAGGAAAAGTCACAAAGTAAATGAGCTATTCTTAAAAGCAATCTTTTAGAATAAGTACTGGAGAATACCAGTGTTGTTTTCTGTAAGTAAAAATCCCCACACAGTATATCACAACTTGCAAAAATGTGTAGTTTCATGAACAACTAGCACTAATACTGAAGTGTTTTCTTTTACAGGAGTCTCGCAAATAATAATCTCCAGTCACTTCCAAAAGACATATTTAAAGGCTTGGATTCTTTAACAAATGTGTAAGAAAGCAATTAATTAATCTTTTAATTATACCACAAGTATAAAGAGATTACTTTAGAGGACATTCTGAGTAACCATTCAAACTAGTAGCCAGTTATGGATCTTATTACTGGGTAGAGACTACACAGTATGCGTAGGCTTGGTTTTTTTGTCTGCTATTATTGAGAATTTGTGATACTTTTGAATATTCCACCAGTTATGAAGATAAGTAATATTGTTAGTAGTTATGTAATAAAGCTGCATGTTAAGATTTTGTGAATAAGAAGGGAGGATGCTTAGGGATGCATGAGAGAGCAAGGCATGCAGGGAAGGTGGAAGATATTTAATGGAGTAACATTTTAATGTGCAAGCAATTCCTGGGAAAGCTATCTTTTATCAACAGAGCATGTGTATAAGTAAGTATCCCATACTAAATCTAATTGTAACCAGATCAAAACATCATTGTTTAAATAGATGTCTGTATATATATATATATATGTATATATATAAAATACCAATAAAAATACAAAATATGGATAAACAGATAAATCTTAAAATTTTTTTAGTGAAATAGATCCTGTTTACAATATACTAAATCCTGTTCCGTCTGGTCTGGGATAATAAGCTCAGAAAATACTTTGCCTGCTCCCAATATAAACAAAATAGGCTGAATCCCTTGAGCAGAGCTGCAGCAGTAAGATGTGGCCATGGCCAGTGTATCTGGAGCATTACTTGGCACAACTGATCGTGGCCAGGTGGTTACACAGCCTGGTCCTGGCGCTTGCCTGTTCCTGTACATACGATCGGAAATCTGACTGAAGACAGCTGTAAAAGTCTTGAACAAAACTCCTTTTCTTGTGTCTCCTGAAGCCCTAAGTGAGTGTATCTAAAGGAAATAGTGAATACTGACTGGCTGACCATCAGGTTACATTAATTCTTATTTTGTTATCTAGAATGCTCTTACTGAGAAAAGGTATTCCAAAGGAAACAGGGGTCATTAGTTTGGGAGGCTTTTGCATACCTGTAAAAATTTATTTTCCCTTACAGGGAAATCAATAAAAATTTCTGACTATTCACCAAGTTAAGGTCTCCTTGATTACCTTAATATAATTAAATCTGTGTGGGTTCTGGTATGCAGATTTAACTATGGGTCAGGACTAATAAGCCAGGAAGGCCTCAACTGAGAATAAGCAAGAGGGTACATATTTAACAAAAGCCTGTTTTGTTGTTCTCAAGGAGAAATAAATTTAACTGACTACTTATTTTCAATGCATGATTTATTTGTTGTAGAGATCTTAGAGGCAATGCATTTAACTGTGACTGCAAACTGAAGTGGTTAGTGGAGTGGCTGGGCAGCACCAATGCAACCGTTGAAGATATTTACTGTGAAAGCCCACCAGAATATAAGAAGCGCAAAATCAATAGCCTCTCTCCAAAAGAGTTTGATTGCATTATTACAGGTAGTGTGCCCCAAATTATTTAATCTTTTTAAAGTCAAAGCTATAGTTTTACATTCTAGAGCCCATTTTTGCATGAATGCTGCATTCTGGATGGAAATTCTACTAAAATCAGTATGAACTCCACTGGTTTAAGTCTGACATGGGAATCATTTGGGAGCAGGGTCCTATATTTCAGTATCTACTCAAACTTTAATGTTACATAATGATTTGGAAAACTGGGACATAAAACAGTACCTCTTTTTATTGAGAAAGATTGCAAAACAAATTGCAGTGCTCCTTTATCAACAGAAAAATTGAACTGGTGATGAAGTCACTAGTAATTTGTAATAAATTGGTATCTGATAATCATATGTTTTTCTCAGTACATGATGGAAAGTATCTCTGTGATTATCATCTGTTGTGTGCACTTTTGCAGAATTTGAAGTTTATCAGTCCCTGCCATACCAGTCTCTGTCAGTAGATACTTTCTCATACATGAATGATGAACACGTGGTTATTGCTCAGCCTTTTACTGGAAAATGCATCTTTCTTGAATGGGACCATGTGGAAGTGATGTTCAGGAATTACGACAACATTACAGGTATGAACGCTGCTTGACAAATATCATTACAACAAATTATCCAAAAAGTGGTACTAACCCTGTCTTTTACTTTTCTTTTTATAGGTACTTCAACTGTTGTGTGTAAACCTATAGTTATTGAAAGTCAGCTGTATGTCATTGTCGCACAGCTGTTTGGAGGCTCCCACATATATAAAAGAGATATTTTTGCTAATAAGTTTATAAAAATTCAAGATATTGAAATCCTTAAAATCCGAAAACCCAATGACATTGAAACTTTCAGGATTGCTGAAGACTGGTATTTTGTTGTTGCAGACAGTTCAAAGGCTGGTTTCACCACGGTTTACAAGTGGAATGGGAATGGATTTTATTCCCATCAGTCTCTGCACGCCTGGTACAGAGATACTGATGTGGAGTATCTTGAAATATCTGGCAAACCACATTTAATTTTGTCAAGTAGTTCGCAAAGACCTGTAATATATCAATGGAACAAAGGAACAAATGAATTTGTTAAGCGGTTTGATATTCAAGATATGGAAGATGCATATGCAGTGAAGCATTTCAAAGTGAAAGAGGATGTATACATTTGCTTAACAAGATTTATTGGGGACTCTAAAGTAATGAAATGGGGTGGTTCAGCATTTCTGGATTTACAAAGGATGCCATCCCGAGGGTCAATGGTATTCCAACCACTTCAGATAAATAATTATCAATATGCCATTCTTGGAAGTGATTATTCTTTCACTCAAGTCTATTATTGGGATGCGGAAAAGGCAAAATTTGTGAAGTTTCAAGAATTAAACGTACAGGCACCAAGATCTTTCATACATGTCTCCATCGATAAACGAGATTTTCTCTTTGCTTCAAGTTTTAAGGGAACTACATTGATTTATAAACATGTCATAGTTGACTTAAGCGCATGACATTCATAATTCTGAGATTACATCAGACTTTCTACCGTAAGTGGACAAAATGAACTAAATGCATGATGACTCTCTTATCTTACTTCCAAATGAATGCCTTTAAAAGTTGAGATTGCTAGAACAAAGTATTACTAGTATCTTCATCTTTAATTGTCAAGTCTAGTGGTGTTGGAAGTTGCATTTTTTAACAAAAAGAAATTAAATTAACTGTTCTTTGCATCCACAGTATGTAAATACATGTGCAACTGCATCTGTTGCTATAAAGAATATTAAGATGTACTTTTCCATTTATTTATTCACCTGTTTGAAACAACTGCCAAATAAAATGTTTACATTTTGTGTCTTTCACATTCCAAATATTATTTGCAGGTGATACTTTTCATTTGTGTATATATTATACACATATAAAATAAAGCCAAGAAGGCATATTGCCCACTGCAGTGTTGTACTGCATAGAAGATGCACAATATTGAAGATCAGGTGGATTTTACTAATAACAAGAAGTTCTTGATAACAATACTGCATTAAAACACAAGCCTATAAGTTATCACCTGGACAATCCTTGCACGTATGTAAAGCTTCACTGACTTAAGCAGAACTCTAACCAGAAAAAAGAATTCAGTTATCTAGATGTGCTTGTAGGATGAAGGGTTCAGTTTTACACATCTAACTGTGGGATAGGCCTTTGTACTGTGTATAGCTGGATGTGATTTTCTAAAAATTCACAAAGAACTTGGCAGAATGAAAGACAAGGTAAAGGTCTGTGTTTCTTCACCTGATGCTGAAACAGCATAAAACAAATCTCTTGTACAGCACTGTGCTAAAAGCTAGAAGCAAAGCTTATTTTTCAGCTAGTGTTATTTCTATAGCTGAACTGTCACACATCACTTGCATGAATTCTGTGTCCTTGTCAAGTCTTTCCACTATAATTGCAATTATTTAGTCTTCAATGAATTTATTCCTTATTCTGAATGAAGCTAGCGCATGGGAAGTAACTTTTTTCCGCTACCCTGCAATGAATCTACCAGGTACTTCTGAAATTCAGGGAACTTTGAATGTGGCAGGATAAAGTCAGTTTGTGTAGTGTATGCAACTCCAGGGAAGCTAACTATATCTGTTAAATTGTGCCAAATCTGAATGTGGCATAAAAATCTATTACAAGCTCAAAGTTAAAATAGTCTTTTGTTTACATACATCTAGTGCACCGCGTGAGAGAAACCTACACTGATGCTGAAGATGATTTGGTGCAGCTCAGGAAGAAAGCTCAAGTTTATTTTAGGCACCTTTGCATTCACTTAAGTCATCAAGCATTATGCTTCACTGCCATCTTTAAAATATAGACATGAATACTGTGTTCATTTCTAGACGTTTCTACCTTTCACAGATGTTGATGAGTGAATAAAACTAATCATACAGTGCATGTCAGCTAATCACATGAGCTGACTAATGTATATTATGGAAGCCAGCCCTAAACAATATGCTTCTGTAATAAATAATGGAGATTTTTTTTTTAATATTTAATGTTATTTGAAACGTATCTCACCTGAACAATACTAATCTAATAAGTTAATCTTTCTGATGCCTTTTTATCCATAGCTGCATATGCTCTGCTAAGCCTTTGGCTTAATAACTACCTACTCCATAAGTATTTACAATGTGAGTAGAAAGATTTTAAACTATGTCTCACAGCTGAAACATCCCAATTTTTTTCTTAATAAATACATTTCCAAAAATTATCTTAATAAATAATCTCATTTGGCAGTTTCCTTTTTATGTCAAACCATATTTCTTTTATATAGTTTTAGCTGCTAAATGAGCATGACTTCAAACCCCAGATGAACCCAAATAATATTTTTTATTATTTCTCAACGTTGGCTGCACATCTGTGATTGCCATCTCAGTTTGTCCGTTTCTTCTTCAGTGCCCTTTGCATGACAAAGTCATGAACCCATCTCCAATCTACCAGCAAACCATTAAGTGTTTTCTATTTCTTCTTGTCTTCTGTTGTAGTCTTTTACTTAAGGTCCTATTGAATTATGTCCACTGGTTTTGATCTGTTTTTTCCCATTATACTTGCCTACATGCACTCTCTATCAAATTATAAAGATAATGGCTGTGCATCCTTCTTGTTATAAACATATTATAAACATGTGGCCGAATTTAAGTGGAGTTGGAGAAACTTGCTAATCTGCTACCAACATTTATTTACATATTGTCTCATGGTATACCTTGAAAAAGTTACATTTCATGGAAATGTATTTCAGAGCCAGCCAGCTATGCTGGGTAAGGCATATGCTATCATAGCGCTATGATTGTTCTCCTGAGTTACCTCATTCTGAAATAATGTGACAGACTTATGGGAATTCACTGTTACTCCTGGGTTTAAAGGAGGAATGTAAATGCCTGCAAGGGTGTGAGTCACTAGAATTTTACGTTCACCATACATATAAAACTAGCCATGGTACAGTGGAGGGTAGCAAGGGATCAATGTGCTGGAGAACGCAACTGCAGTATCAGTTTGGTTGTTCCTTCAGAAAATTTTTTTCTGTGTCAAGTGATTGGGGAAGTTCTTAATGCCCATGTCATTCAGCTAATTACTATAAAATGCTGAATCAAAACCTGCTCTCTTTTGAAAATTCCTTTTTCTGGTCTGTTTATGTCAGGTGGAGACTCACAGGGACAACAGCCAGTTCCTTATTGTGGGAGTATAGAATTTCTTTGTACCACATAAGGAATTGGGGTATTTTTAGAACAGAACTCATAATCCTTAACGTAGAAGAGCGTAAAGGCTCATTAGGTGGCTCCCTGTGCTGTTTCTTCCTGATTTCAGACTGGGCATTTTAACAGCTCATCTGAGCATAAGGCTAAGGCCATATTCCATCCTGGGTCTCTGCTCAGTACTCTTGATATCAGTGGAAGAATCAGAAAAAAACTAGAATAGAACCTTTTATCATATATACATTGATATTTTTTTAAAATGATGTTTTAAAAAACCTATTCCTTTCAACAAAGTCTATGTTACTTGTGGCTGACTGGTTGTCTTCTGCAGTTATAATGGATTTTCTAAACTCCCTAAGTGTTTTGTTTATGACTGACAGAAAATGTGAGGTATTAAATGTATTATAAAAGAGAGTATTGAAGGTTTTTAATGGGTACTGCTGATCCTTGATGCTGCTTAGTCATGTTAATGTCTAAGATAAAAAGAGCACTAATGGAATAGTATTGTATTCCTACAACTACTTGATTATATTTTTAATAGGGCACAAATATATAAGAATATGCACCTCTCTACTTGGGAAGAGATATATAAAACACATTCAGAATACCTGATACTATACCATGTGTAACTTTTTTTATTTTGTCTATTGCAATGCCCAGAACTTGCAGGTGTTTTGTTTCTACTTATTTTCCATTGAAAAAATATTCCAAAAAGCACTCTTCCTAGGAAGAAAGAAATTCAGTAAGGAAATATTTTGTTGTGTAAGATAACAAAACAAACAGAAATGTATTATTGGTTTGAATTTCATTTTAATTATAACTTCTCCTAATGATTTTAATTTTTTTAACTTTATTTGAATGGGTTGTAACAGCCACTCAAAGTACGCTTGAGGACGGGAAACAATTATTAGCATAGTTAATAACGTGTGATATGCTTTGATATGTTCTAGTGAGAAGCTCACTAACAGCTGTATTTATGTATATAAGCACTAAAATATATTGTGTTAGCATTCAATGGATAATAAAGAATATTTAAACTATAGAAGTAACAAAAAGTCCTCAGACTGACAGTAGCACCAAGAGAAAGCAGAGAAGTCAGCATACCCAAAATGTTACAACTAGGAACAGAATACAAGCCCACAGCAAGTTTCAAGGGAGTGGAAGTTTTCTCTTTAAGGGAAGTATTTTCCTTTCCATGAAACACATAATGTGTTTCTCCTCAGTGGGGACCCCTGAAAATCCAGACAATCACCTAGTTCTTGCAAAATGCAGTAAAAGGCTTACAAACTTAATGCACTACATTCATGATCCTAATATGTGGATTTTTTTTCCTTTTGACACCTCTCTGCTACATGAGTCTCAGCTGTGGTGGCACAAAGGGAGTGGTGAGCATGCTGCTGCCCACTGAAAGGGCCAGGGCCCTGCCAAGGCCAGACAGAAGTTAAGCCAGGTTCAGCAGATGGAAAATGCAAACCCAAGCACTCAATTCACTCAGCTGTTAATGCCTCCCCCACTGCCTAGCAGGTTTGCTCTCTGATTTGTTATACATATTGCCAACGGTTCCCACTACCTTTCATACGCCTGCAAGCCTCTCATTCTTGCTGATCTGAGACATAAGCGTTGTATTAAAGCTGTGATTTAGACTCCTATTGATTAGAAGGCTGAATGTGTTTTTGTGGCTGGGAAATCACCGATAAATGCTGAGGTCTTGGGGAGTTCAATTCCTCCAGACTGATCTGCGGTACACTGCCTGACTTACTGCTAATGGCAACTTTTCTTCCTTACTGATGACTCTGAATTCTAATGGCTGGTGTTACAGGCATGTCTCTGTTTATAGTTCACTTAAACAAAGTGCTCAGAGGCAAACCTAACCCTATTTCTATTCAGGAATTTTCCTGAAGTGAACTGCAACTACAAAGACCTCCAGTGTGCGATACAGAAGTGGTGTTGTATTTGTGCTTTGAGACTTTGAATCGCTCCAATTAGTTATGGTAGTGTAATACTTCTGTCTTCAAATTTGTTACAGCAGAAAGCAATTTGCCCCTAAATATGCATATTTATATTCATAGAATTGTTTATTTATACTCCAAATAAACTGAAGTGGATGATGGCAATAATTATGTTACTGTTCCAAATCTCCCATTCATGAAATCAATGTCTGGATTCTCAAAAGTTGTTTTCAACTCAGCCTTACTTTATTCTTCCTACTGAATTATTTCAATTGAAAAAGGACTTTCTGACCCATTCTCACTTCCTGTTCGAAGGCCTGGATAGTGACAGCAGTATGTTAACAAGTTGTCAACCTGCCCAGATGGTGAGCATCCAAAAATGCTGAAAGAGGTTCAGAATAAACAGGCTGATCTGCTAACAATACATAGTCCTTCATTAGAAACCATTTATGTGCAAAAGAACTAGAAGTAACAAATATTATATCTATTTTTCTAAAAAGTTAATGGAATAACCAGTGGGATTTCAGACCAGAAAGATCCACATTTATCTGAAATTATAAATGAAAATGGAAGTGTAAAATTTCAGAAGAAATTAGGTAACTAAGCAAGTGGGACAGGCTGACTAGTGAAGTTGAGGGTCCAGAAATGCAAAATACTATACATAAGAAAAAAATGCTCACAAAGTTTAAC